CTGTTTGGAGGACGTCTTCTGGCGTTTTCTGCGCTCAAACACAAATCTTCAGTGGAACAATCACTGCGGTTGCATAACACGCCAGCTGAAACAAGAGATCTCAACTCAGCTTTTCTGAAATCCGGCAGTCCAGAAAACTTTCTGTGCAGTTAGAATAGTCGGGCCTCTTTTCTGACGAGGATAAATTCTTTATTAACACATGAGTGTAAATTTTCACAGTTTTCTAAAGCTCTGTCAACGCATGGGAAAATGCTGTACGGATTTTTTGGTTTTGTTTAATTGTTTTTCTCACTGTCCAGCAAGTACAATACCACGTCATCTCACACTATTGGCCGTACGGTCGTTCGATATAGTCTTCTGCTATGACGCAGTTTGTATCCACCATGTTAGAGAAGCCCAGAGAAATAAATCGTCGTCTGTAATAAGATGATTTTTAGCATGTCTGTCATTCAACAAGCTGGGTTTGAAAATGTTGGCAGTTAAGGTAAAGCGCTTCACGCAACACATGGAGACTGACGTTTTTGCGATGGGAGTTGTGTAAACATCACTAATTGTTGATATAAAATGATAAAAACAGTTTATAATCATTGCAAAACAAAGACAAAATGACTAGAGCTTATATTTTAATCAATCACTGCTTAGGGAAGTAAAATATTCAGAATGCTGTTCTTATTGCTGATACTTGAATCAGAAAAAATATATATATATTGGAAGGTCAAAACTTTACAATAAAACTTAACCGACAATCAGCCACAAAATTCAGATGAGTACATCTCTGTCAAAGATTCAATTTGTACTCACTTTAAATATTTCATATCTGCTTTGACAGATGATGATTTAGGGTAATTAGCTTTCACAACAGTCTGCTGTAAGAAAATTGGGTTATGCAATGGCAATAATTCATGCCTAACATCTGGAGGTACCTCAGTTATTATGGTGTGTTTAAAGGGTTCTAACCAATCATATTTTGGTATATTCCCTGTATGTTGAGTGTCTCAAATAAAGAAAGGAAATGTGGCAAGCTACAAAATTTTCCAAATGACTTCAATATGCCGAGACAGAATGCCAAGGCGTGTGTGAAGCAGAGGGAATGAATTGGGGAAGGGGTGAAATGATAATTTATCAGATTTTATTAAAGCAACAGATTTAACCATGCATCACCAGTCACCTCTAATATTGTTTTGGTGTCAAATTATAATGTAGAACCAATACTGTGACCTTTTATTTATTGGACAATGTGCATCACAATACGTTTAAATCCTGTCTTAGTAAGTGTTTTCATTTTCAGCCCTACAGTCCAGTGGCAAACACTGACTCACAGATTTGCTCTCTGACCCTCCTTAATGCATAACAATAATAATAATTTTAAAAAAAAAGACAATACAGTTTAGGACTATCCTTCCACATAATCCAGCAGCAGAGCTGACTGTCAACCGCCCAGTTCCAAAACAAAGGGTTAAGGTGCAGTCAGGCTGTCGAGTGAAAAAGAAAAAAAAAAAAAAAAAAAAAAGAATAGTAAACTGGATATGTACTGTGGAAAAAAATAAAAATGTTTTGTTGACCGATATCACAACGTATGATTTCGCAGCACTGTGTGCTGAACAGTTTTCTAGAATAGATGCAGGCAGCTAAAGGTCATCGGCGATGTGATCATAATTTGATTTTAGGGAAAGCCCAATCGTGATAACATTTCCAAATATTGCACTGATGATGTCAGTTCTTTTAAACCCCCATTTTGTCTCCGAGTTCACTTTTTCCATCATCTCAAAGTACACAGTCTGAACTTTACCACACTTTCACTGAAATCTGAATCAACTGTGGGCATCATAGAGAAGTACTCCAACTGGTCCAATGTTTTATATGAATGTCGCAGCTGCATAGGAGGGCCTACATCTAGAGATGGTATGAAAATATCCACAACCATGTTCCCTTACACATCTTTTTTCTATGAAAAAGATGGGGAACTGCTCAAGCCAAGTCTGTTTGAATGGAGAACATTTCTGAACATCAATTTCCCCAAGTCTTTCTACAGTTTCTCAATCTCCATATTTAGAGTCGTCGTCCAGCACCCTCTGTATTTTAGCTCCATTCATCTTCAGCTCTGACCAGTTCTCCTGTACCGGTGCAGATGCCTACAGCATGATGCTGCCACCACCATATTTCACAGTTTCGAATTGTGCACCAAGGATGGCATTGCGTAGTTTTCCACCACATATGCCATTTTGGTGGCAGGCCAAAATGTTGAGTGTTGATGTCACCAGGCCACAGCAACCACTTCCAATGACAGCGACTCTCTTTCACCACATTTGTAAAGAGCAGATCAATACTCAAGGCATGTATGAATGATTAGGTCAACTTGGGGAATTATTTGCACTTTACACACCGGTGCACCAAAACTTTATGCAGCAAAAATATATACATTTCTGTAAAACACGTGCAAAGCCTAATTAGTGAATCAAACATTGGTAAACTGCGTATATTATGCGTTTAAGGGCGATGCCTCCTTTCAGCTACTCTTGCTTTGTTCTTTCTCTTCTTTTTGTGATTTTACAGTTTTAGAAGAACGGCATTAAAAGAAATACCAGATGTTCGCCAGATGTATGACCTTAAAACATCTGGAAATGAACGATTTCTCCTGATCTGACTAAATTTGAAGCCGTCGTGTTTTCCTTTTCTTTTTTTTTTTCCACCAGACTCCTGTGTTGCTGGATAACATTTCTAAGAACCCATAACATTTTGCCTTTAAAAGGGGCAGGAATAATATCTACTGAGCTCAAATCGTCTCCAAACATAAGCTCCAGCGCTTACACAAAGGTCTGGAACATTTCACAAAGGCTGGTTTATATTAACATAAATTGTTGACATTACATCATTTCTTTATGAATAATTCAAATGATCCGTACACACAGCAAATCATTCAAACAACTTATAAATATGGAGAGTGCTAAAGGGAGAGAAAAAAAATGGCCCACTCCGTTTCTACATTTCAGCTTTGTGGCAAAATAAAATGTTCTTGTGGACTTGCTAGCTACCTACCAGCTTACTTTGCATGTGGAGAAGATCTGCGGGTTAGGAGACGAGCATAGCGGGACTGTCTGTACTTTTGCTGTCTGGGGCAACTACAGTGGTCCATTGTTTCTACTGAAACCTGAGACCAAGAAAAGGAACTCCACATACAGCAGGGTCCCTGAAGGCTTCTCTCGTACGCAGACGCCACCAAATTTAATAACCTACAATCTAACTTTTGCAATTGTCTCTGAGCACACTGGCCACTATTGTGCACTGTAGATAATTTGAATGTTATTGTCAGCACAATGCATGGAAGAGAACTGCAGTATGAGAAGGAGACCTTTACTGAGAGGTAAAAATGTTTAGACCTGTAACAAATGTGAGGAATTTAAATGCCCGGTTGTCATGACAAGTTTCTAACCTTAAAAAGCTACTGAGGTATTATGCTGAGCCTCAACTTTGTGTTTGTTTTTCCAGAAAAACAAAATAATCAAATTTTCTTCTAAGCGTTACGAAAATACCAAAGCTAGCTAACCGTTAGCTGCTATAGATGGAAAAGTTAGCATTAGCTTCAGAGCTCGTCATTGAGCTAATTTACAAGTCTGTTTTTATCCCATTGAATGAACTGGAACTATATAATCATATTTAGTTCAAAATCTATAATACTTCAGAGTGATAAAATCTTAACATTAAAAAAGATTTTAAAAATGAACAGTTCAAGATTTAGGAAATCTTCATCAGTCAAGAAAAGTGATGGGACTTGAGCGGTTTGGTCCTCCGCCTCCGTTTGCGCATGTGGCTTGTGCACCAGAATTGCAGCTGTACCAGAAACGTGAACAGAAAGGTTCCGGCTCAGGACTTTTGCATGTTACAAAACAGAAACGGGATTAATTGTGCTAAAATTTTCAACGTTAAAATCTATGTAATAATTGATCAACATTTGCGCATTAATGTCGCCAGCCTTAATGAAAACAAAAAGGAGAATGTTCAATGCTTTTTACGTTTCACAAATTAGACAAACCATAATACGTAAATGAGTGAAACCTGCTCTGAAATAGTCTACTACTAACATCTTATCTTTTCTTGTGAATCAAATATTGTGTACCTGACCTGAGCTGGATGCAATATAAAACTTACCAACATGGCATAACATCATCAAATTATTGCCAACTATTATGTTAGGATGTCCTGATCTGATCACTGCATTATTTAAATGACTGCTACGGTTTAAACAAGCTATGTTTTGTACAGCAAATTCTACACAATTACAAAATATTTGTTGCAAAAATACATTAAAATCCATGTATACCATTTTGTTCATCTAATAAATTTGTATTTTTACAATGTGCTATTCACCCTTTATAATAAAGTCTCCAGTTAAATAAAGAATACATTGGCTATCGCTGCGCTCTGGGCTTTGATAATAAGAAACAGCTTTTGGGCCCAATGCAGAAGCAGCTGAAACACTAATCAATAGATTTTATGACATTAAAAGCAAAGCAACTTTTTTTTTTCTTTATTGGCCAAAACCAGAGTCAGCAGGTCTGGTTTATCGCTGCATGTTAGTGCCATCGTTAGTCTAGACTGTAAGAAAACTGCTTTAAATTAAATAAATTGTTAACAGCACCATATGGAGTTTAAGACTACAGCTGCAAGTTGTGTCACATGAAATATATATTTAGAAACAAATGATACATTTATGTACATTTTGGATAATATGCTGGTGAAGCATTATTGTGTAGAAACCCCAGCTAAGATAAAACATTTGTCAGTGTCAAAAAAAAGGGAGGGTGAAACTGAACCTCCTTTTCTAAAATTTACTCTGGTCTTATTCCACTTTTAAACTATAGAGTTTTCAATAAGGATGTGCAAATCGAGCTACAAAATTGTCAATTCCTTCTTTTTTTTATTGTCTTTGAAGATTGCAAAAAAAAAAAAAAAAAAAAAAAAAAAACTGAAACAGAAAAGAAACTCGCTGCAAGTACACTTACTTAAGAAAGTATCTCTGTCCTGAGGTAGTCTTGGCCATCTCCCACCCTGCTGGCAGGGGCACGTCGTCGGGAATCTCATAAGAAGATTGACGGAGATGCTGAGGAGAGGCGCCCGCGGAGGCCATTCCAGAGAGCGAGCCACCAGAAACGGCTCCCAGCTGCAGGGAGGCCGGGGAAGAGTGTGCTCGGACGTGGTGGGGGGTGAGCACCCCGCCACTTCCAGCATCGGTGCTGGCCTGCGGAGAGGTTAGGAAAGTCGACAACCATTCAACAAGTCTGTCTTTTAACTTAGAATTTGTTTCAGGACGTTTTGTTTGCATGTACACAGCAATATGAAAATGAGACTTTAGACAGCGTTAAAAATCAGGAAGCTTATTAAGTGGGAATGCAATTTTCAAAAATGGTTGAGTTCTGACATTTACAGCCTTGGTTTGATCGTCTTACCAAAACGTTTCGATTGGAAAGTAACCGACGATGTTGGTTGAGTCATTCGTTGAATTAGGTGTCAAATGAGAACAGAAATTATACAGTCTTAATAAAATTTAGTTTCAATAGACTTTTGGTTGAAAATTTGTCTATTGGAGCTATAACCCCTCTCATCAACATGCCATGTTCTTCAAACAGGTTTTTAAGGCATTTTGGTCCAAATTTATGCTCCAACTAGTTAAGCAACAGCAGCAACTTGCTATCAAGTGGAGCATCTGAAGCCTGAGGCAGTTGTTGCCAATGAATGGCGCACCTTAGCTGTGGTTGTCAGCGTAAAGATTTACAGGCCACCTTGTTAGAATAGAATTAATCACAAACCAGTTCTTATGCATTGTTTCTTTTTAACTTAGAAGGACAAACCAGATGAGGAAAGTCACATTCACAATTAGTTACTAGTTAATGTCAAGAGTCCAGTGATGGTGTAAAAATATCCAATTAAGAGTGTTTTAAAAGATAAGGATGTGTTGGCTGCTGAATGTAGTATTTCTACTCAAATATTTTCTAGTTAAGATTTGCCATCTTATAAGTGAAACGATAAAATATTTTGCTTCTTTCTCAGTATGATATATACAAAGAGAAACTTCTATTTTTACACATGTGAACAAGCATCCAAGATTCTACAATTCTCAAAATTGTGCAGGGGGTGCCACTGGTGTAGTCCTCAGAGACAACACTGACATCAACACCCGTCCATGCTCAATGATCATCTGTGCAAGGTTGTGGTTGAGACTGAAGACTTATGAGCATATTTCCCCTTAAAATGAAACCTAAAATGTAAAGACAGTCTGCTACAACAGTAGCTGTCCGTTTGCAGTCCCAACGAGTAAGACTGTTTCTACTTTGATTTGCTTTTGTAAAATCCCACAACAGACCGATGAAGTCTATTCCACCTCTATTTGTCTGTCAGTGCGGTTCTGCTACTTAGAAAACTTAGCATTTACTCGATTGGAATTTGTTTTGAAGTTTCAGAACTACTGACCTGGAGAATGGAGTCAGGGACTGTGGCGCATGCGCACTAATTATAAAACTTAAGTTTCAAGGAGGGAGTTCGGCGGGGGGATGGGGGAAGAGATGGGAAGGAATTGGAGAAAAAAAAATCGCAAAAAAGTATAAATATTATTGATCTTCCGCAAACAGACGTCTAAGTTCACGCAATCTCTTATAATTCATTTATTTTTAAAAGGAAAACAACATCGTCCAACTTTAATTAGACCCGTGTCTTCAAATGCGCCGTTTGTTAGATGTACTAATATGTTTTCGTTTTGTTACACACGAACATTTAGATTTAAAAAAAAAATATGCACGCCTGAAAATGACAACAAAGTGTGAGAATAAGTAAGTTACATGAAATGAAGGGGATGAGTCACGTAATGAAGGCCCACGGGAAGGCCCCAGCTTTAATCGGGATTTCTAAGCAGAGAGAAGCAGGGAGGGCTTACTTGTCTGGAGTGGGACTTGGGCTCTGGGGGCTTGAAGAAGGAGTCCGGCAGATTCCTCATCCTCATAGGCAGTGAAGCGGGAACGTTGGAGCTTTTCGGGTTCATCACACTATTAAAAAGTAGCTCCAGGTCAGTCTGCGAGTCGCCCCGTACGTGGACGATCTGGTGTCCGGCTGGAGGGTTGTGCTGGTTCGGATCCATGTTCCCCCACCAAATAAATTTTTAAAAAAGGAAAAGAAAAAAGATGCAACTGTCGGAGAAACTTTCCCCCCCCCTCCCCCCAAGTGTCCCAAAAAGTTATAGCGCAGAAACTCGGCAAAGAGAAGCTTGAGCCAATCCCCAAATCTTTGACACGCAGCAGGAAATCTGGAAAATCTCGACGCGTCTCAGTAAAGCGTATCCAGCGTCATTCTAAAAGTTTACTTCAAACACACACACAAAAAGTTTGTCACTTTGCTACAAAGTGTGTTAGCTGTCAGAATCTGCAGTAAAAAGCAGCGTTTCTCTGTTGTTTCCTGCTGGCATTCTTGTTAATGTAACAAAGCGCATATCTACTCCACTCTGGAATCTCGTTGTCGCCCCCGCTCATGGAAGTTAAAAGTAAAAACCGCAGAGGCAAACCGCAAAACACCGAAAAAAAAAACAAACCAATATGAACTTTTGGCTGACAGGACCCCGCGGTTCTTCACACGGTTAAATCCGAACTATCTTCGGTTATCTTTCAGTAAAACCATAGTAATGTTGAGCAAATCACCGCTCCTCACTGGTTCGGGAGGGGGGAAAAAGTTTCATCCTGTTGAGTCTAAACTTTGGGCAGGATCAAACTTTATGGCCCATGGGGCGTCAGAGGCGGGGCCGACTTCCTAATGGGACAGGACGCTTTAAAGGTACAGTTTGACTGCAAGAAACCTGAAAAGTTAGTCCTTGTTGCAGTATTTATTTATTTATTTATTTATTTATTTATTTATTTATTTAAATAATATCCCAATATCTTAAGAATTGTTTTATTCCATAATATTTTAAAACACCAAGTGATGTGTACATTTTGGTATTTTAAAGAAAAGAACATTTAAACATGTACACAAATAAATAGCATATCTATAAAATACTAAGCAAAAAAAAAAATAATACTTGCAGAATGAAGTTTATACTGTATGTGTTTTAAAACAGGGTAAAGTACCGGCAGATGTATTTAGATGTACAGTTCCACAAATTTCCAAAGAAAAATTAAAAGCCCATGCAAAGTGAAGTATTGTGATATAATCTTTTTGTTTGTTTGTTTTATCAGGAGAATTTTTTTTAAGTCTGTTGACATTTTGATACATTTATTTCCATGTAAATAAGGTCTAAATATCTTTAAATGACTATTGCTCAATTGTGATTTGCATGCCTGAAAGAAACCTGTGTGGGTGGGGCACCAACTACCTCCCTCCCTGGGGCCCACCCCCATTTTAATCCAGCCCTGGCAGCATTGGCTACCGTCTGTATCTTGAACAACTTGTTTCTATTTTGCCCTGACTGCTTTTACATATATTTAGCTATTTTTAATTAGGTTTCAGGTACGTTTTGATTCTTGGGTGTTGATGGTGTATTTATGAACCCAAGTTTGCTAATAATCTTCATTGAAGCTGAAGATAAAAGTGGAAATGTTCAGTCTACCATATGATATGATTTTGTTGCTTGGTTATTATTGATTATTTAATTTATACTGCCCAGCATCAGTCAGATTAATGTTATCAGTAATTAAATATTTTGATTCATGATTAAAGTCAGTCAATAAAACTTCATTTGTAAAGCAATTTTTTACACAGCTCAGTGCACACACACACACACACACACACACACACACACACACACACACACACACACACACACACACACACACTCATGTGTCCATCTAATGAGGTTGATGACACATTTTCCCAAGAACTTTAATAATAAATGCAAGGCATCGTCACTCATCAGTGGGTAATAGAACTATTTATTCTCTCTCTCTCTCTCTCTCTCTCTCTCTCTCCCTTTCCCTCTCTCTCTTTTCCCCTTTTCCTTCTTTTTTTTTTTTTTTTTTTTTTTTTTTTTTATAA